ATAACATTTATTAGACACCGTATACAGCAATTTCAAAGTTTTTCGCAGACCAAAATTTAATATAAATGATGGGGTTAGAATAAGTAAATATAAAAATGTATTTGAAAAGGGCTACACACCAAATTGGACAACAGAATTTCTAAAAATAAAATCAATTAAAAACACAAATCCTACAACATATATACTTGAAGACTACCATGCAAATACTATTGAGGGAGGATTCTATGAATATGAATTAATGAATACTAAACTCCTTCATGTATATTTACTTGAAAAAGTTTTGAGACGTCGAAACAATAGATGATAAATGGTTAGGGTTCTCTTCTGAACACAATTCCTAGGTGAATGTTAATGATATAAATTAAGAAAGAAAAAAAATAAATATATGTATATGTATTATAAATAAAAAAGTGTTTTAAAATTTATTTCAGTCAGGTATTTAATGATAACCTATCAACATGTCGTTTACATTAACAATAAATGATAATTCATCTATACTGATTGCAAATTATTTCCTTCTATGGGGGGAACAAGATTATGTTTGTGGCTTAATTAGTTTTGACTCATAACATACAATTCCAAATGAAGACGAAGAAAACAATTTATTTCACATTGGCTCGAGTGTTATTGAGATACCTGTTGGAACATATGAGCTGGATGATATAGTTGTGAATATTACCAATACATATGAAAGCTAATCCTAATACATTTCGAACCGAACTTATGAGCTATCTCGAAGAAGTGAATTTTGATAAAAAATATTCAATTGGTTCATTACTGGGTTTCAGTAAAGGGATATTAGAGCCAGGGATTGTTCATTACTCCGACAATCCGGTGGATATAACATAAATAAACACAATATCCGTTGAATGTAATATCATCAATGGATCATATATAAACGAAACATCTATGCATACAATACATCAGTTTTCTCTTTGAGTTAGCCCGGGATATAAAATTACAGAAATACCTATTAATGTTACATATTTACCAGTTAATACTCGTCAAATAAGTACCCTAGTTCTTAAATTTGTTGATTAAACGGGTAAACTAGTTAATTTTCGTGGAAAAGCCATATCGATAAGACTACATTTAAAACCTATCTAACGAAAAATAATAATAATTTTTAATAAAAAGCCACTACATACAGACTTTATGAATAGTTTTCCATCATCACCAAAAGTATTGGTTACAAAAACAAAAAAATCTACATCACAAAGAACACAATTCTTTCATTCAACATAACATTGATTTAATCGAATAAGTAGTTTCTAATGAGTCTGGGATTTAATTTGAAACAATGAGTGATATAATAAACGTTTTGTACAAGCCCATTTTTGATAATAGTATAATAAAAAAGGATTATCATAGCTACATACCATACTTACATTTGTTTCAAAACAATGATTAAATTCGAAACCCCATACAAAATCAAGACCTATATGTACTACCAAATGAAAGTATTTTATACATTGAGGGGTTCATATCAAATAGTGAGTCAATAGTTTCAAAATCTGTGCAGCTGCTAAATAATTGTATGTCGTATTTATATTACTATTTATCAAGGAGATACGATATGAAATAAATGGAATAGAAATTGATTGCACTAGAAAGTTTAGTGTTGCAACAGAATTAAAAAATTATGTATCACTTAACGAATTACATTTCAATTATTGTATACCATCGGAAAGCCTGCTTGGATTTGCTGAAGATTTTGACAAAATTATTGTTAATTGTAAACATGAATTAGTTTTAGTACGAGCAAAAGAAAATGATGGTGTTATGATGACAACCACACCAAATGAAAAGCTTACGCTAAAACTTTTAAACTTTACATGGAAAGTGCCACATATTCAACTTTCAGACTCATATCGGTTAACTATTGTATGTTGAGAACAATCAATAGTAAACAACCACTAAACATTTCGTTTAGAAGTTGGGTTGTCTACCACAACCACTCTCTAGAGAAAAGCATGAATATCTTATGGAATGTTAAAATGGTTGGTGAAAATGAAAGACCTCGCTATATTCTTTTAGGATTTCAAAATGAAAAGAAATTTACACATTGTGACTTATTAGATGTTAAGGTTCACCTTAACTCCACTACATATCCCTATGATAATCTTAATATTAAATTTGAATGAAATCGCTATGCTCTGTTATATGACATGTATTTAAAATTTCAACAAAGTAATTATGTACGCACTCCATAAGCACTTCTATAGCCTAATCAATTTATTGAAAATGCTCCAATAATTGGTTTAGATGTAACACATCAAAATGAATCTATAAAAAGCGGACCCATCGATATTCGGATGACTTGAAATTTAATAAGACCGTCCCTGATAAGACCACTGCTTATTGTATACTTATCCGTGATAAAATGTTTATTCCATTAAGAAATGTACTAAAAAAGATTATTTAAAAATAAAATAAAAATTCATTTTTTTTCTTTTTATTTCACAAAAAAAGGAAGTATTTAAAGATGCGATTTATTTATATCATCATTATCGGATGAAGTGCGCTCATATAATGCTTCTCGATTAGGTACTTTCTCCGTATTGTTTTCCGGAAATTCAAAGCAATAGATGTTTAGAGTACACTTCTCATAATTGCTATAATAAGAACATTTTATTCGAAATTCACAATTATCGTAAACTAAATTGAAATGACGATAGAAAACCCCTGGACTTTCAATAATACCTCCAATTCTCATTTCCCTTTTAACTAAATCATTTTTAAAAGCGTCAATAGCACCGAGTATGGTGTATACACTTCTTTTTACCGTATTTTTCTTAGTGTTGTGATCGGAGTAATTTGTTCTAAAATATCCCTAAGGGCTCTGCGTTGTTGTTGTTGTTGTGAGGCTCAGCTCAGGACGACTTTTATTTATCAATTGAATTGTTACATTTATTTTTAAACGGAAAGAAGTGTTTGGAATGTTGTATTCAAAACTAGACTGTTTACTACTTTCGAAATTTTTAAAGTTGCTTATATTTTGATTTTGTTCCATAAATTGATCATAGTAGTAATAGTATCTTGTTCCATAAGTTAAATACAACAGTTGTAGAAGTAGAATTTTTATTAAACTAGACAAGTTCATCTTTTTTCTCTATATATACACGTTTAACACACGTTATACAATGACCATAATATATGTTTGTTTATAGTATTTAACATCAATTATTTCTACATTTGGTCTTTTATATGATTTATCCTGAATTAGAACCTTTTCAATGTCACTATTACTCAGAATTCATTCAGTTTCGATTTCACGATATTCAAAGCACTGGATGCTCAACCGTTTGTCAATATAACTACTATCATAAGTACAACGAATCGGTATATTAAAATTATCATTTCCAATTAGAAATGACGATAAAATGCTGGTTTTGCCTCAATGATTCCTAAAATATCAGACTCCTTTTCAATAATCTCACTCTCTATAGTAAATACTCTTATGGGATTCCCTTCAGTTGTTGTAAAGTCAAATGTAGGTGATGGAGATGAAGATGGTTGTGCAATCTCTTTAATGGGGACCGATGAAGTTGTCGTTGTCGTCAACACTTCAATTACTTCATCATACTGCGTTAAAAGCGGTTCACTTTGTTTCAGTAATAATAGTAAAACATTTAATTGTAAAATATCATTACAATTCGGTAATGTTAAATTAAATTGAATACTTTTCGAGTTTTGGTTTATTCCAATCCTTTATTTTTTACTTTTTCCCAAAATGGAGCCCCATAGGCATCTTTGAAAAGATTTAATAATGTAATATAAAATTTTAATTCCATTATGTCTTATCCTTTTGTCGACGACAATTTAAAATGAGGATGATATTTGATATACTTTCTTTTCTTCTTAGCTTTTATTATAAAAGTACTGAGCTTAAAATTTAAATACCATTGTGGCATATCCGTTTCTCGATGAAAATTTAAAAAAAATGAGAATGATATTTGAAGGGATGTATTTATATACTTACTATTCTTCACCTTCTTAGTATACACTTGCGGGTTCCTTTCTTTACACCAAACCGGTGAAATTTTACTTTTCATCATTTTGGTGCAAGAAAAAAAGGAAAAGTGGGCACACGCACGCACGTTTGCGTTTTTTACAAAGAAAATTTACATTTATTTAAATTTTTAGTTTCACAAAAAACACAAAAAAATTTTTTTCCTTTGCACCAAACTGGTGCAAGAAAAAGTGCGTAAGTGGGAAACGAGAAAAAGTAATGAAATCCCTTTACACCAAAGTGATACAAGGGAAAAAACGTAAATGGTGCATGCAGCCTTGCACTGATAACCTATGCCTATGCTTTCCACAATTAAGGTTTGTCGTTTTCTATAGAAACCCAAACGTTCCTAAAATTACTCGGATATTAAAATTATCTGTGATTCCATATCGGATAACAATCGGCACCCTACTTCTTCTTCTTTGGCAGTCGCCAAAAAAATGATGCCCTCGGATTGAGAAAAAACCCAATTCGCAAGTCAAGAAAACCGCACCGATTAGAGGTAGTATTTGCCATGTAGCGCTTCCATCTGCTAACGAAGGCAGAGCTTGTTGCTTGCTGCAGTCGTTGTTGTAGATACCCTCACGCTAAGGGTTGAGTCCTTGCAAAGGTATAACATTTTTGCTTGTAATTGTAGCAATTTCTCGAATAACTAGTTCCTAAGCAGTTGTAGCTTAACGATACTTGGTGAACTAGGGATAATAGTTTCTCTAAACTAGATGTTCTGAAATCAGGGTACCTTAAGAGACAATGTGGCTCAGCACACCTCAGATAAGCATGGGAAATGGGAAGCTTTGGAGTCACGGAAAAAAAGTTTTAACTCATTTCAGATCCTAATTGAAAGTGAGAGAGAAACATTCGATGAAGTTTTTTTCGAATGTTTTGCTCTCGTGTATAAAATTTTTTTTATTAATTAACCATTTATCTTTATACTAATTAAACCTTTATTATTTATTTATTTCTTCTATTTGCATACCTTCTTCGTCAGATTCGTCAATTTTTACAGTTAATAAATTGGTCTATGGTATATAAAATATGATATGTATGTTGGCGACTCGATGTTGTCCAGATATCGCAAAAAAGTGCATCTATCGTCGTTCGAGATTGCGTTGTTGAGGTAATGACTCATTCGCTAATGGAAAATTTCGAAAAGAACATTGACTGTGCTCGTGAATAACCAGAATAAAAGCTTTTGGTGAAATCGCCACCAAGAATGCACCATTTTAGTAAACAGAGAACAGAGAAGACCTATGGCGTATCAATTTGGTCGGCTGGTTCGCGTTATGAAAGCTTATTTGAACATACGAATCTGAAAGCGTATTTCACTGTACTTTAACAGTGAGTAGACAGAAATTGCGCTCAATATACCATAATGAGAAAGATTGTATGTAAAATGATGGCATGCAAAATAAATGTAGAATTGATAAAGCCTATGCTAGATAGATGTAAGCCAGCAGTTGGTTATTATCAAATATTCCTGATATTTTCAAATTTGGTTATTGGCTTTTATTAATTTGTAAATTTAATGAAACATTTTTGAAATTTGTCAAATTATCATATAATTTTATCTACAATTTCTCGTTTTTAATCATAATTTTTTAAAGTAGAATAAATGGTAGCTATGATACTTTAGGCATAATATATTTGATTAAATTCTTTAAATATTAAGTAAACAAGGCAAAATCTGTGTGCTTACATACCCGGTAGAAGATTTCATCGCCGATGAATTCAATAATATTAAGTACTAATCCAAAATGCGTGGTCGTTGCGGTCGCGGCTAGCATCGCTTTCGTTTTCGATTATTTTTACAACATGTCAATATGTCGAAAATAAAAAATTTACGCATTGATGGGTTTTGGTATTATTTTGGTCAGTCGCGAAGCGAAGCAGGGCAAAAAAGTGACTTTAAAACTTTTACTTACATATTTATGAAAAAAAAACACAACTTTTATTACTTATGTTCTTAAAGCGATACAGTAAGCGGCTTATGAAATGAAATATTGAAACTTGTGAAAACTAAAGAGGTTTCATGCAAATGTCGATCAAAAATAGTGAACGTTTAGTTCAAAATTTGAGTTGCTTCAGGTTTTGCGTAAATAGGATATCGACGTTCCTTTATCCTAGAAAACTATTGTTAAATATATATATAATATATTTATATTCGTTGTAATTTTTTAAGAATAAATAAAATAAGTTTGCGGTTTAAAATTTCAATGTTTAATTTAGGTCGGATTATTTAAGTAGAACAAAAAATTGAGTTGCAACTGTCCTTTTTTGTTCATGGCTTCGCTTCTAGTCATTTTACCAGTGTTGTTTATGTTATAAAATCAGTTATTTGTATTTCTAATGTCGATAAGTGTCGCTGTTTAGTTCGCACATCCGGTCATCCTGAGTGATCGTTCGTTCCTAGCGGTGGACCCCAAGGCTTCATATACTCTGGAACTGATGTGGTCCTTTTTGGGACTTTGTAGTCTCCCACCTTTTCCATTTCGTATTTTCAACGACTCATAACCTTCAGCATATTGTAGGGGCATAAATACTTGAACCTTAGTTTCAAACCGGATCCGAATTGGGTTCGCTTTATGGCCGCCAGTCTACACTGTACTTCCTTTACTCTTTGCGTTTTGCATTGAAATTTTTCTTATTCTCTTCTCACCTCTCGATTCTTAGATTTCTAGTGAATGCATAACAGCCAGTAACATTTTCAAAATCAATCACAATCAGATTTATTCGCTATTCTTAAGTGAGCTTATAATGTCTAAAACTTCGAGTTCGTATAAGTGAAGCTTTTCTTTGAAAGGTATGGTTTTCCGACTCATAAACAGAACAGGATGAATTTCTCTATCGTCGAAATCTCGTTGCATGAATACGCCCCAGTAGCGGTACATTCTGACATCTGTATGTACTACAACTGCCTAAGGGTTGTATATTTTCAATACTAGAACATTAACTAACGCAGGCTCAACTTTACATCCGTGAGTTATAAATCATATAATGGTCGTGCAGTGATAGCGTATGATTCAATGAACTTACGAAAATATGATATCGATCCCAGGAATCGCAGCATTCCACTAAGAAGGGGTGGATGGAAATGGGAAATGATCAACTGTGTCACCTCCACTTTTTATTATTACAATTTGTATGTGCGCATGTACATACGTACATACATATGTATACTTACAGTGGCTGTTGGTCAAACGCATACCAACAACCACACAAGTCAAAACAAACTACCGCACAAAACGGAGATGACAAAAAAAAATAACAAAGCGACCGGCCAGCTTAGTGAAGACGGCGTGGGTCAACAGTTAAGTACACTAACAAAATCCAACGGGGAGAAAAACAACACCAAGTGAATTTACTAACGCCGATATAAACAAAAATCGCAAGACAACAACTTAACAGCAAAGTCGAACTACTTAAGACAATAAAACATAATATGTTTTTTGGTGCACCCGAGGTTTGGTCCAACCGAACTGGTCACGAACCCACTCGCACTACTCCCGTTCTGCCGGGCGTAACGTTAACCCACCTGTATGACTGGGCTCTGGGTGCGGGATGCTATAGGGATGGGTAAGGACGTAACGAGGGTGGTGCCACTGTCGGCACGACAAAACTTAAGCAAACAATAAATACAAGAAGTGATACTTATCAGTTTCTTGGTCGGGTGTGGGTACCCAACTTTGGTGCTCCTCCGGATGATGCCGACGCCAAACTCTGGTTCCGTCACTGGAATATAAAATAAATCCTATTTTGCACTGGGCTTCGACTGCCCTTAAACAAGCNCCGTGCTCTACACCTGACGTGGTCCATCGGCAAGTGTATTACTCCACATATTTAGTTTCGCGGGAGTGTTAGAATTAAGTATAGAGAAATAAAAAACAAGCATTTAAAAGAAAACATAGATGATTCTCTTGATTAGCATCGTAAAATTAATGGAGCACAAGAAAATGTAAAACACCGAGTATTCAAAACATAAATGGCAAAACGTTATAACCAATTTTGGAAAACGCGGAAATATTGTATCGCCTACACTTCATCAAAAGAAAAAACAATTATCATACATCCAAACAGGTTAGACATTCTAAGTGACGATGACGATGATTTGCAAGAGACTTGTGCAGATAAAAAAGGTAGTCGACGAAGAAGAAGAGCGGAGTATTCCAAAGCCGCTGCCTTTATTCATTCCTGGGGCTTACAATATAAGCGGAATGGCAACCACTATTTTAAGTGTAAAAATATTTTAGCTATAAATCGTTAAATGCTAGGCAAATTAGTCTCATGATAACTGATATTGACTCATACTGAAAAATTTAAAAAAATTAGACTCTAGTAACGTGAGTTTTCATATGAATCAACTTAAATAGGACCGACCATATAAAGCAATGTTAAAAGGAATTTACTTTTCCACTTCATCGGAAGAAATAAAATAGAATTACCAAGCTACCGTTATCAATGTCTTTTTTTTATTTGCAGTCCAGTGCCAACAACAAAGAAATATATGAGCTTTTCCTATATCCAATGTTTTTAATTTTCATATTTTTTTTTCTTCTGTACATGGTCTAAAACCATTATTTTATGTGGTATACTATTTAAACTAAAAAACATAAAATTTTAATTTTTAGCTCAGTTTTTTCATTCATGTCGAGTTTCATTATGATCTATACTGGTGTTTCTTGATACTCCCTAATTGATTAATTTTTTGCAGACAGTAAACGATCAAAAGATTTGTTCATAATTATTCAAAAATGGAAAACAATAACATTTTTTGGCCAAGCTATAATAATGTTCTTCATTGAATGACAAAAAACATTTTATAACTCGGGAAAACATCTTTTTAACGACTTTCTTGAATTTTCATTCGTTAATTCAAGTAATATCTCTTCCATGGTATCTGTTTTCTCTTTCTGTAATACCCAAGATTAACTGAAAAATACCCAAGTGACTGTGCAGGTAATGGACCTTTATACTCATGCCAAGTTTCCGAATGTTGGATAACATATTTTGAACTAATCTTTGGTGATCCGTTGATTTTCTATTTCGGACTACTTGTACAAAAGAAGTCCAAGCTACAATTTCAACAATGTTCATCTCTTGAATAAAGTTTTCGTCTTAAATCAACTCTCTTATTTGAGAGCCGATAAGCAATATTAGAATATTCTTCTTTAATTGTTGTTGAGTGACTGATTGGAATAGCACCGTATTTGTTACCATTATGCGACAAAAAAGCTTTTAACCTCATTTTTGAGCTGTTGTTTTTCCAACGAATTTAGAGACCTACAGTTTATACTAAGCCGCCTCCGAACGGCTGATGAGTTTTATTCATGAGGAGCTTTGTTTCATGTGAGATATACGCTGAGAGGGGTTGACATTCCCTGCCGAAGGTTGACCACCAGTAAAAAGTTTAGCTTCATTTTTTTTTTAATTCATTTTCTAAAACTTTTGGATTCTGGTCGCACGGGGAGTTGAACCTGAACCTTCCGAATCGCAGTACGCAATGCTAACCACTCGGCTACCATATAGTATACATAGTACCTATAATAACAAAAAAAAGTCGTTTTAGACCAACTACACAAAAAAAATTATGAATATTCAAAACATTGGTAGTAGAAAATAAAGTTTTTTTCGAATACCGCAAAAACAAAAGCTGATTGAGCAAAATCTTTGTCATTTTTGGATTCAGCGTGACCGAATTACCCTTAAAGAATTACTGCCGACTCTGCAGCAAACAACCAGTGTATAAAGTGTGTCAAAAACACACTTTACAGATAAAACATGTTTAAAAATAAAAGATTATGAACAAGTTGCCTTTAATCATCCAAGTAAAAAAGCTCATGATGGCCGTGTTGTTTCAATAAAATCTTGTATCAAACACACGCGATCGAATCAATTCCAACACAATCAATACAAGCTTGAACAAAAATGAAATCGAACAATATATGCCATGTACTTACCACCAAGGCACAGTATTACAACTACTAAATATGAAAATTTCTTTAGCTCTCTCGGTCCCAGATTTTGTGTAAGAATTTATTATATTACAAAGCACAACTGTAGGGAATCACGTAAAAAAAACCCAAAGGACAGAGAGCTTTATAAATGCATTACGAAGAATAATTTAAAACTTTGTCAAGCGGAAGACCTACCTACTTGCCGAGTGACGCGTTGATAATTCCTGACCTGCTACAGTTTGTAGTAATAAAGGCATTCCAACTCAGCTATGTTAGCTATGATCACTCGGCAATCATTGTTAGCTACAACACGTTGCTAAATGTTAAGCAAAGGAAATGTTTTTTTTTAAATAACAAAAGATAATTGTTATTTTTCAAGATTGGATAACCCAAAATGTAGTACTTAGCACCTCTATTAAAACTTCAACCGAACTGGATAATGCTGATGAAAATTTTATAAACTTAATATGATACATGGAGCAAAATCTACTGCTACTCCCCAAATAATAAATATATTATCATCTCATAACTCATGTAACACTAATCTGAATAAAGCTACAAGGAAACTAAAAACAAGATTTTATGTTTACAGAAACAAATCGATTTCTGAATAAATTGAAAGTTCAAATTGTGGAAATTGTGAGAACCATAAGATATGGAATGCTACGGCCTAAAAAAAGAAATATACCTATAAAAGACAGTAACCAGGTTTGGATACGAAGATATAAAAGCAAAGCGAATGCATTTGCTAAGTACCTTGAAGCAACCTTCAATTCTTTTACCAGTTGCCGCAATAACAACGATACTGAAATATATGAGTTCCCTGATGGACTATGTCAATTATCTTTACCAATGGCTTCAATTAAACCTGCAGAGATACGTAAAGAAATCGATAAATTGACTAGAAAGAAATCACCAGGATATGACAAAATTGATGCCAAAGTTGCTAAGTGTTTACTTAATAATGTATAATGTTTCTAACGGATATATGTAATTCAATATTACGGCTTGAACAATTCCCTACTCAGTGGAAGTGTGTTGAATTTCTGATGATACCCAAACTTTCAACGCTGGAGAATTCGCATGCATCCGGACCACATGACCTAGCCAGCGCAGCCGCTGCTTCTTGATTCGCTGAACTATATCAATGTCGCCTTTAACTCGTACAGCTCGTCGTTCCATCGTCTGCGATATTCGCCGTCGCCAATGCGCAAAGCACCATAAATCTTACGCAAACCTTTCTCTCGAAAACTCCTAACGCCGATTATCAGATGTTGTCATCGTCCATGCTTCCGCATCATAGACCACATGACCTAGCCAGCGCAGCCACTGCTTCTTGATTCGCTGAACTATATCAATGTCGCCTATAACTCGTACAGCTCGTCGTTCCATCGTCTGCGATATTCGCCGTCGCCAATGCGCAAAGCACCATAAATCTTACGCAAAACCTTTCTCTCGAAAACTCCTAACGCCGATTATCAGATGTTGTCATCGTCCATGCTTCCGCATCATATAGCAGGACGGGAACGATGAGGGACTTGTAAATTTTGGTTTTCGTTAGGAGAGGACTTTACTATTGCCTACTCAGTCCAAAGTAGCAGCTGTTGCCAAGAGTGATTCTGCGTTGGATTTCAAGGCTGAAGTTAAGGCTGGTAGCGAGATGGACTAAATTATCTACGACTTGAAAGTTATGACTGTGAACATGGGAGCCAAGTCTCGAATGCGACGACTGTTTGTTTGATGACAGGAGATATTTCATCCTTCGTCCGGGGCCTTAAAGGCGATACTAAGGAGGCTTTTCCACGGCAATTGGCAATTGGTCAGAGCACACTTAGGTTCCAATCGTCGGACATGCTTTCGTCCGACCATATTCTGCAAAGTAGCTGATGCATGCACCTTGTCAGCTCTTCACCGCCGTGTTTGAATAGTTCTGCCAGTAGGCCGTCAGATGCCGCTGCTTTGTTGTTTTTTAAACTTCTTCATAGTCAGGTAATGGAACGTCTTTTCCATCGTCATCGACTATTTAAATTAAAAAAGCACTCTCTTCACAAGTATATCTAACTCTTTAGTCCCATTTGACATTTTATGTAAAGATAAATGGCGAAACATCTAACTTAGCCCATATGAATTCTGAAGTACCACAGGGAATAATTCATTGCAAGAAGAATTAAATAAAATACAGACTTGGCTATACTGCTGGAAAATGATAGCAAATA